CTGCTACCCAAAGTAGCTAAGCCCTATAAAAGGCCATGCTACTGCTATCTCTCGTTCTCCAACTTCTATAGCCTCGAAACCCCTCCACGAGCCAAACCCAAACCCCAACCCCCCCCTCCCACGGTGCCACTCCAAGAAGAGCCGCCGAGAGCCAGAAAGGATCATCTGAAAGCTTGGCTACAAGGCCTGGCGAGGGATCTGCTCAGCTTGGGGTCTATGTGCAATACTGGAGACACTAATGGAATTTGCTATAGACACCATCATAATAGTAGCAGTAATAGTAATAATAAAAACTCGTAATAAGGATGATAACAGGGATATACTTAGCTGGAGGTTTATAGTTTGCGTACATACAGGTAGCGGGAAAGGGCAGTGGAAACTACTCCAATACTTTGAGTTGTGACATTGGTGGTTAGAGGCTTATGTGAAGTCAAGCTTCAATCCTTAATGGTTGGAGGGCCCAAGGATTCAGGGTGAAGAGACTGTGGCTTTCCGGGATTGGGACTGAGCTCTGTTCCAGGAGTCGACCTAGGGTAGGGCTCAGCCCAGCACGATGTGGGAATTATGTGGAGATTCCTGCTCATGCATAGAAGGAATCTAAATTCAGCGAATACTCTTGCATTGTGCCTCAGCTACTAAGTTTGTATAATGTTGCTCCCTGCAAAACCCTATACAATCCCGATATAGTCCCCATATGACCCTATGTCATCCTGAAATAACCCCATAATGTTTGGGAACTAAAGTCAGGCACCCCTCTACCCCTTCCACGCTGCAAGAGCCACACAGATGCCGGCACGCCTACGAGTAGATGCAAGAAAATACAGTCTTGCGAAGCAAGCCTCCAAGATCCCTCATACAAAACAGTATTGGGAATATTTAATGAAGGGGGGAACAATTCATAAGTCAACTCGAGAGAAACAGCTCACCATTTTCTAAGTTAACTCGAGATAGCGACATCGTGATCAGGCGAAGGATCAGAAGCTGAATGATGACTCACAAACCTACATCATGAAAAGCCTGCGCCACAAAGAGCAAACTCCTAGCGTAGTTTTCGAATCTCGGGGATTGAGGCCCGATGTCCCATCTGCAGAGCTGGCTTGCACGTCTCAGCTTCATATGCACTGCGGGAACGGTTATATGGTTGTTGCAAGCTCATTGGGTTACTGTACAAGCAAAGGTGCAGGAAGCTTTGTTCATTGCCACGCTTTTGGCGGCCATGGTCATGCTCTTTCCTTATAGAACAACCAGAAGAAGCCATCCATGCCCTTGGATTGAAAAAATCCCTGGCTCTTGAGCAGATTAAATTTCAAATTGAGAGCGATCACATCAAGATCTGCTGGGTACTGTAGGTTCTCAACCCCAATCACCTGAAAAAAACCAAGCCCCAAATCTCCAAAACTAGGTCCTGAACCGCAAACCCAAAACCCTAAACCCTGGACCCTTAACCCTATACCCTCCTAAACCCTTTACCTTTAACCCTGACCCCTGAACCCTAAACCCTAAATAGTAGTTTCCAAATTCTTTGCCATTATCCCTGACATATAGCACCGATATAACCGATATAACCCTAGTATAACCCCAATAGAACCCATATATAACCCTAATAGAACCCCTATATACCCCTAATATGCAACCCTAATATATAACCCTGATTTAACCCTGAATCCCAATCTAACCTCAATATATACCCTACTATACTATAATAGTTTTCCATTTTCTTGTCCATTGTCCCTATGTAACCCCAATATATACCCCTATAATCCCTATATAACCCCAATGCAAATATCCTATAATCCCTAACTCTATATAGATTTATATACACCCTAAACCCTAAACCCTAATAAACCCGATTCAGGGATGCTGTTTCCTGCCTCCCCACCGTTGAAGTTGCCCGATCTGCGCAGCCCGCACTACAAAGAGCGTCAGCAAGAGACCTGGGTTTTTGGGTTTTTTTTAACATCCCCTCGCACCTGTTCGGTTTAGGGTTTAGGGTTTAGGGTTTGGGTTCTTCAGGTCTCAGAAAGGATTGTAGTATTTTGGGGTTTCCTGACATCAGGGATACCTACTTGGGGTCCCTCTAGTTTGAGGATTATACTATTCTGAACCCTACCTTACTTATCAGAAAGAGAGCTTCGCATTCCGCTTGCCTTGAAGTTGAAGTGTTAGGCCCTAAACCTGAACCCTCAAAAAAATTGAGGGGGTTTAGAGTTTAGGGCTTAGGGGTCCCTATAATAAGGAGTATGATGCTTCGGGGTCTAAGACAAATCTCCCTATTGATGGAAACTACCACATGGAAATGTGTAGAGGGCATTCACTTGGTCACATTTTTTGGCGGTAGAACGCCTGTAACCACATCATCGCTGCTGACAATTTCGGGTGGTTCCCTGTCAAGTGAGGACTATAATATGGCTGCATTACCTCTGGGGTAATGTTGAGGGATCCTAATGATGACTGTCAGCGGGCAAGGATCTATGTATTCCCGGCCGGAGTGAAACAGAGTGCCCTAATCAGGCGCTAATCTGTAGAAAGAAAACCCCCCACTTGGGCAGCGGCTGATGGAACGTTTTCGTCCTGCCCAGCGCAGCAGTCGTCGCCAGCCGCGAGTCCTTGAACATGAGGTAGCATTTGGGCATTGACCAACAAGGGTTTAGGGTTCAGGGGCTTTACATCTTCATCTATTGTAGCTAATATCCTTACAAAAATCAAGGCGCAGCATCCGCGGTAGACTGATATTGTGCAGATGTCCCGCCGTTCTCCCCCACTCACACGCTAATACTGAGCATAAGACATACTGGCAGTTGCACGTACGAGGGTCCTACTTTGTTCCTTCTATACCATTCATGGGTTGGGGGCAGAAGCGGGGGAAATATACTGACAGCTGCTCTCAAGCAAACCCAGAGAGGCAGATGAAGGCATTCTAATTTAATCTAGCTGCTAGGAGTCTGCCTAGCACATGCCAACTCACTTTATCTTCAAAGTGTACGAGGAACCTACGGATCAACAATTGGCCAAGAATAACAAGCATGCTCTGGAAAATCAAGCTCGCAGCAACAGCAATAGGGTAGAAAGCTGCATAACACATGAAACAGGACTAGAAGCAGTCAAGAAATGATAAAAGCAACGGCAACAATCGCGAACACGTGTAGAACAGCGAAGCGTGCACAGCCTGAGTCCCAGAAGTGGCTTTAGACATAGTATCATGGCGTACGCGATGGGCTCTTATGACCGCCCACATTGCGAGCGTAATCAGCATAGTACGATGAGAAACCTGGAATAACCACAAAAAAAATATCAATGTGTTTTGAAAACATGGAAACGCTGGGTGAATACATAGCACACCCAAAATGCAAATGTCTGTTTTGCAAAGGCGCAAAAAGGACTCTTGGTATTGCGAGGACACACTACACAGCCACTAAACACCCTCAGTTACTACAGGACCCAGTCTCAGTAAGCTGGTCGCAGCGGCAACCCGCGCGCAGTCGCCGCACACCATGGTACCCAAGGTTTGCAGCGCTTAAACAGTGGAAACGTACTTGGAGGGTCAGGGGAACCTAGCAAGTATACTTGTAATCCCTGTAAGCCATATGATAGCCCCAGTTATCCCTATCACTTAACTACTTACTAAGCCCCCCAAGTAGGGGTTCAGGGCTTGAGGGTTAAGAGGTTGATTCCTAGAAATTCCTACAGATGCTAGTCTGACCTATCCTGATGAGGAGCACGGACAAAATTTGTTCAAGGCTTGTTTCCGGGAGCCAGCTAGCCGCCCTGTGACGTCGCTGGCCTCTGGAAAGATTTTAAATAGGGAGTTCCCTAACGTATAGGAATATTGTAGGGACCCCAATACTTAAAGGAGGACAATTATTGTTGGGTCCTCGTAGAACAAAAGCTTTTGAATCGGGCCCCATGAATACCGACTTAGCAATGCTACTCCGAAAGCCCGTCCTGAATGTCTCTACTTGAACAGTGCGGGCTCTAAATCTAAGAACCAATTCCCCAGCCTCGCCAGCTATGCTCCCCGATGTTTTTCACCCCCCATAAAAAGGCCAGCAGACGCAGGCTTGGAGCCAGAGACAAGTTGCAGGACAACTTACTGCGGGTCAGTAGGGAATGAAGGAACATAGAGGGATTCTATAATATGGATTCTATTATGTTTCCTTATTTCCTGCTAACCACCATGAAGCTTCATGGATTAGTGCTTTAGGGTTTTGAGGGTTAAAGGCTTAGGGCTTTAGGGTTTTTCGGGTTTAGGGTTTAGGGCTTTAGGGTTTTAAGGGTGTTTAGGGTTGAGGGTTTAGGGCTTTAGGGTTTTTAGGGTTTGGGGCTTTAGGATTTAGGGGCTTAGGGTTTGTTGGGACCAGGGATATTGCCCGAGTAGTCGAGACTGAAATTGAAATCAAGATATAGAATGAAATAAAACTGCGATCATAAAGGAGCTATTCAAGCCAATATCCAAAATTCTGCATGACCTTGAATTCCCAGAATCTTGGCAGGTATGGTACTGTAGTAGATTGCGGACATGCAAATCCTTGGGGTTGGGATTTAGCTTCGGTCATTCCCCGCTACAGTAACAGTTCCCACGATGGGTACTACTAGATATAAAAGCCACTGAATAAGAACCCCCTTGACGACACTTAGCAAAGGGGAGAATGGCCCAACATTTGGTGGATCCAGCTCTGCGCGCCGGGGGTCTATGGTTTCAGGTTTGGGCTTTTTTAAGAGTTTGGGGTTTAGGGTTTCGGGCGCGCTGAAAAGAACCAATATCAATATCTGCACATGGGAATATGGTTCCCCGAGGCATCCCCCAAATGCTGTAATGGTTGCGAAATTTCTGAAGTCCGGAGCAGACGCACTGGCAGTAGCAGCAGGTCCCTAAACCCTGCATACGCCTCCGCAGAACTTAACTCAAAAGCTCTAAACACTTGTCCCTAAACCCCAAACACCTCAACCGATCCTATCTCCGTAAACCCCAAGCCCCTGTACCCTACGGTCGAAGGCAGGACCTTCGTGTTCGGGAGCAGGTCCGAAATCTTGGAGAACTTGGGCTTCTTCAGCACCGGCGGAGGAGTGCTCTTCCTGCATTCAGGGCTTGCGGTTGGGGATTTAGGTGCCTGTAGTGGGGGAAATGCAAGCAACTTGAATTCAAGTGAATGTCTGATGGACTCCCTAGACCGGAAAAAAGTTTAAGAACGACTCAGTGTGTAGATTCAGGGTTGAAATCGCTCGGACACAATACTCTCAACAATCTCCTTTTGTAGGACTTTCAAAGGGGGCGGGCAGGTTGCCATATGGGCCCTCAAGAATTGGCCTAACCCTCATGGATATGGTAGTCCCCCTAAGACCCCAATATAGACCCAAGAATACTGTAATCCCTCGTACCCCCGATTTTGGGCAAGCCCCATATAGGAAGATTGCCAAATGTGGGTCAGCTCAAAATGTCATCTTCGACTTTAGTTAATGAATCGATTCAAACCCCTAAACCCTTAACCCAGAACCCGCAAGAAACAACACAAACCCATGGAGCCCAAACCCCTAAAGCCCAGATCCATAGCCCCAAAAGCCCGTTAATCCTACACCCTAACACCTAAAACCCAGAAACCTAGAAACCCTCAAAACCTAAAACCAGAGCCAAGAGGCTGGATGATCTCCATGAAGGTTGGCTTGAGCGAGGCTCCTGAAGATTGGCTTAGATGGGGACTCTCGTAGGGAATATATAGGGGTCATATTGGGATAGTTAATGGAAACTACTATATTATAATGAGGTATCTACTGGGGTTTAAGGGTTTGGAGGGGTTAGGGGTCAGGGTGTAGGGTTTAGGGTGTAGAGGGGTTAGGGTTCAGGGTGTAGGGTTTAAGCTATAGAGGGGGGAGGGCTTAGTGTTTACCCCGTATAGGGTAAAGAGCGTAGGGTTGAGGGTTCATGTAGGGTCAGCGACTGCTCTTTAAGGATTGAGGGCTTGGATGCGGGGCAACTTTCAAAAGAACCCTATCTCCAGTTGTCTGTTACTTCAAGGAGAAAGTATTTTAAGCATTGTACGAGTAGCAGAAGCTTTACGAGCCGTAAGCCCATGACGGGGGAAGATTGTAGGGATGCTGGGAAAGGTTCTGAACATTCTAGGCTCACCGATTTGGGTGCTGGGATAGCAAGGATGATGCTTACTTACTGGTCAACGGGGTGAATGCACTATGGGGATTCGTACTGGAACCATGTCCATGTCCCCACAGGTAAGTAGCATCATTCCTGCAAATCAGCGCCCGGCCTCCAACCAGGAAGCCGTCGATGTTCGGCTTCTTGATCAGCTCAGCACCTGGGGAGGCAAGGAGGAGGTCTCCCAAGATTGGGATAATCTGGGGACTGAGTATAAGGCGATTTTTAAGGTTCTGATGGAGGCTGAACTCCCAAGAAGGCAGGAAGGGAGAGGCGTTCTGGCATCAAGGCTGGGAAGCAAGAGGCAGGTGGACTCGGGAGGTCAGAGTCGGTACTGAACTGGAGTCAAGAGGACTTTGGATTGAGGTATACTTTGGAGCCCGGCAGTTGTCCACGGTGACGGAACCGCCGTACTGGATTCGCACCTGCCAGGCATCGGACCCCGCTTGCTAGCGGTAAGACTCAACAAGATACAGCTCACAAGAATCTCAGGTTTCCTGCTGCTGCTGTTACCACCACCACCAGCACCACCACCACCGCCGCCGCCGCCGCCGCCGCCGCCGTCGCCGCCGTCCGCAGCATCACCCATCAGCATTCGTTTCTCGCATCCTAACCTGATCCTCCGCACTCTGATCATCAGTGATCCAACAATCATCACCCCTCACCTTCCTCATCAAAGACATCACGGATGAATTCTGAAGTCTGACCCTGAACCCAAAACCCATAGGGGTATATAGGGCGTACAGGGATAACGGCAAGGAAAGTGGGAGCTACTATAGCATATATAGTGGGGCTACATTGGGATAATGGCAAACAAAATAGGAGCTACTATTTGGGTGGTTGGCAAAAGTAATGGTCCCTTTTTGGATCCCTATTATAATACGGCACCTGATATTTAGGGTACCCAAAAAGGGACCATAGTTTTGACAACCACCCATTTAGGGTTTGGGGTTTGGATTTGGGGAATCCTGGGCCTTTTCAGCCACTTCCTCGCTCACCGCGGTGGCCAGGTGGGCACGGATCGCAGCATGTGTCTCCTCAGCCTCACAGGTGGAATTCAGGGTTTAGGGTTTAGGGCATATTTTAAGGGTTTTGGAGTTTGAGGGGCTTGAGGTTTGGGGCTTTTGTAGGGTGCAGGATGTTTGTAATGGCTTCAGGGTTTAGGTTTCAGGTTATGGGTGACAAGGGGTATGCATACATAATGTACAGAAATTGCAGCTTATGGCCCGGCTCACACACAGATGATGTGGGGTTCGGGATTAGAGCTATGGGGCCCCAGAATGGGCCCTGAATCCTGCGGCCGAAAACAAATATCTAAACAATCTGATATATGTATATATATATATGTATATATATATACAGTTTGATACCTATATTGGGGCCAGGACCTCACCCTGACAATACCGACATGAGGTCGTAAACTATCTGGCGTGCCAAGCGCGTGGAAAACTGCGATGTGATCTAGTTGAAGCCCGCCTTCTCAGCCCACCGACTAGGAACACTAGTCTCAAGAAATCCTGTATAATAAACACTGCGCGACAATGCCTATAAAACCCATTCTCTAATGGATCTCTGAAAGTAGCGCTGCCTTTTTACATCTTCAATATGTACAAAGCACATGGTTGAGCTCAGAAGGAAAATCTTGCAATTACTGACTTTTACAGAACCCTCTGCAACCCCCAAAGAACCCAAAGGAGCGCCCCACCAATTCCCCTTATGTTCCCTATCCCTATATCGTCCCTATAAAGTGCCTATATAATCCCTATCAAATCCCTGTAAAATCCCTATATATCCCTTATATAATCCCCGTATAGGGCAGTGGATCTCCCTCTCCTCACCTGCTCCGGTAATCCCTATATACTTCCCATACAAACCCTCTATAATTAATCCTTATATACTCCTTATAAACCCGAAACCCTAAACCCTATCCCTAAACCCTAAACCCCAAACCCCTTTTATTCCTTATGCAATCTCCCTCTCCTTGCCTGCTCAGGTGTTGCCACCTTGCCAGTGCCGATGGCCCAGACGGGCTCATACGCGATGACAATGCGGTTCCAGTCCTCCAGGCAGCTCACGCAGTTTAGGGTTCAGGATACAAGGGTTTAGGATTTAGGGGTTTAGGGGTTTAGGGTTCAGGATACAAGGGTTTAGGGTTCAGGGGTTTAGGGGTTTAGGGTTTAGGATGCAAGGCCCTGATGATTAGATTCCCCTCTTTAATATGGATATTTCAGGGTAAAGGGTTTAAGGGCCTTATGATGGAGTTCCCCTCTTTCATATTGATATAGGGAATATGTATAGGATCCAGGCGTATCCAGGTCCTAATGATGAAATCTTTTTACGGTTCTCGTAATTGAAGGCTCCAGGCCCACGTGATTTGTGAATAAGCTTGGTTCAACGGAGTTCCCCTTCGATATGGATGTCAACTTCATAATGAAGACCTTAATATCAGGGTCCTCAAGCTGCCCTTCAGCAGCTGTGGATGGTCCAGGGGCTTTGTAGGTAGAAGCTTTAAAGGGGGCGCTTGTTCAGATAGCCGAAACGTGAGGAAAAGGAGAGTGGTGTATCGGAAATATGCCTCAAATAAAGTTAGGGATCCTTTAACCTACCTAACTTCTGAGCCACCGTCCCTCCGAAGAGCGTGTATCCTGATGCTGATTTTGGGAAACTCCCAATATCAAGGAGACAAGTCTTACATGGACAAAGCAGTCACAAGCATCACGAACGTAACCAAAATCTGAAAGTGGAAGGCATCATATCCAAGAGCCTGGTCATGCCAGGCCACAATGAGGATGTGAAGACCAAATCGTGGCACAGCAGAACCATGATCAACCCTTAACCAAACCCCCCCAACCCCAATGCGCCTCCGCCTTGACCTTCTTGATGACGGGAGCCAGCATCCGCTCGTTCACTTCGTTGGTCTTGCCACCCTCACGCAGCTTAGGCAGAGCCCCTCTTCAGCTGCGTAATGTTTTTTTTGTGGTTGAGCCTAGTAAGATTATATTCCTTATATAAAATGCTATACCCAAAAAAGGAGGATATAATCTTACTCTGTAATGGGTACCATACCTCCAGATAAAATACTCCTCAGCTGTGCTTAGAGTTTACACTTTGGCTTGTCTGTGAAGATCTACAATACAACACATAAGTTCTCATCGACCATCAAGAACTCCTAGGCCCTAAACCCCTTGTTCCATTTAAACCTTCAAGTACCCTAAACCCTAAACCCTGCAGGAGTTCTATGCACCACAGAGGATTGCTGGAGGCCTCGCGCTCCTCCAGCAGCTCACCGATGGCCAAGACAACCTGCGTCTGCTCTGCTAGGTAAATACATTGGAATTTGGGGCTCAGGATGTATGGGCGTGGGGATTCCTCAATAGAGAGGTACCCGAAGGGACCTTAAGGTTTTCTGGTGGGACGATGTGCAGATCACTGCGCAGGGGATTCTTTTTGATTTTGGAGGAAACAGCAGAGTCTCCCCGCATGTCCCTTTTTTTGAAGCGGTTGAGGGAATATACAGGATATGCAGAAGAAGCTTTCCAAGCTGCGCTTTGAGGACTGCATTAATGGCGTGGGGTTTAGGAGTTTGGGATTCTGGGTCTGGGATCTAGGGGGCTGGGAGCTTGGGTTCTAAGCTGTGAGGCGTCCGGGTTTCAGGCTCAGGGCTTTGCCGATAGGGTGTAGGATTCTAGATTATATGAGTTTTCAAGTTTTGGACTGCAAGGCTTTAACGCTCGATTGGCCTAGCTCAAGACAAAAGACAGCTGATCATTCGGCGCAGTTGGCAAACGTAGACAAGAAAGACAGTGAAGTAGTATGGAACTGAAGGTGTATAGCAGGAGTACAGCGACCGGTTACAAAACGACAGGCTATCGACAAAGTCAAGGTGGCCTAGGATAAGAAGCGGCCCGTTCACAACATTGCCATCCCTCTCACAACATGGGCATGCACCGCTGCCGTTACGGGCAGCAAGCTTGCCGTACAAAGCATTACAGTGGCATCAAAAAAGATGCTGAAAAGCTCCTCTAGGGGCCGTACTACAGAGACCACCCAAAAAGAGACCCCGTGCGAGAACCTCCCAACGACTCGACCCAAACAGACTGCTGCAAAGCCTCTACCTTGCTAAAGATAGGCATGTAGCGCAGAGTGCTGAGCCCCATGCCCTTTTGCATATGAGCTCTGCTCGTTTGCCGGACTCCCAGAAGCCCCATGCCCTAAAACCAAAATCGTAAACACACCATGGAATATACGCTAAACCCTGAACCCAGCATAACCACGGCATAAAATGGTATAAACCTATAGAAACTCACAAAGAGCCCTCTTGTATACTACAATACGGCACCCTCAACCTTAAACCCTGTCTCAAAGGAAAAGGCCCACGCCTTCATGTCTGCAGCCAGGGCTTGTACCACCTTCTCCGCCACGTCCTCCCACTGTTGCCGTGCACGATGTTGATATTGCTTATGCTACAAATTTAGGGTCCAGGGTTCAGGGAGCATTGGGAATTCGATAAGCATTGTTTACAGCTTGAAGTGGAAATCTCAGAGCTCCCGGTCGTTTGGTAGCGCTCTGCATGGCTTGGGTTTTCTTCACGGGTTTTCTGCAGCTTCCCTTTCACAGTGGCAATTCTGATCAGTATGTGCTTCCATCTTGACCACCACTCTTCCTGCCCGCTCCTCAGGACATGCATATTCCCAGAATGACTCAGGCTACAGGAATGGGCACGGATACCAACGTGCTAGCACAGAAGTCACCAAAGAAGTCAAAGCCGTAACTGTGGACTACATATAACACGCTCAGATATCTTTTGTGCTGAGGTCTTCTGGCTTACTGCATTGTCGCTGCCGAGCCCTTACCCTGTCTGCATTGGACCCTACAACCTCAACCCGAACCCTACATGAAATACTCCCATATATAACACCTATATATACACTGCTATGCTATAGTAGTTTCCATTTCATTTTCCATTATCCCCACATAACCCCTATATAATCCCTATCTATCTAAATAACCCTATATATCCTTATAAAGGGAACTAGGTTAATGAGTTTAGACCACAGCTCAGATACCCCAAAACTCTGAAACCCTAAACCCTAAAACCTAAAACCCTAAACCCAAAACCCTAAACCCTAAAACCCTAAAACCCTAAAAACCTAAACCCTAAAACCCTAAACCCCAAAACCCGTAGATTCAGCGGGTTCTGAGCCTCATCGGTCTCGCCGTACTTGGTACGCCGCTCGGAGTGGCCCACTAGAGTCCACCTTATGGGGGTTCTATATGGATTAGGGTTTAGGGTTTAGGGTTAGAGGGTTATATATAGGGCTCTATAGGGTTCTGTAGGGATAATGAAAGGGGGATATGATATAGGGTTTATATAGGGATAATGGAAAAGAAAATGGAAACTACTATTTATGTAGGTTTGGGGCTTGGGGTTTAAGGGTTCGAGTTTAGAGTTGCGGGTTTAGGGATTTAGGGTTTAGGGCACAAGTTTTTTCGAATGAAGGGCCTCCAGCAAGGTTTAGGATTCGAAGCTTAGGGTTTGGGGCAGGTTTAAGATTTAGGGCCTGGCTGAGATCTTTTAAGATATGATATTTGGTAGGGTAGAAAATTGGTCTAATCCAGGGGCTCCAGGAAAAGATGTGGATTAAGAAGCCGAATAATTATGGAGCATGGTCACAGGGACAGGGAATGCACTGGTGCTTGCTACATCTGTCCCGAAACCACCCTGAACCTAAAGACAAGCATTGCTAAACCTACAGACTTGGGATATTCCTGAAAAATGCGAATTATTCTGGACCAGAACACCCTGTATACCTTTCCTTCTATATCACATAAGAAGTAACTTTTTAAGGGCCGCCTATATCTATGCAAAGAATCTTTGGCTTGCCAGCTAGTCTGTCAGGTGTTCAAACATCAAGGGCAAGGTATACATATTAAAGAAGCCCTAGTGTTAAGCATAATGGTAGCTGTAAGAGACTGGAAGCAATTGCCTGATTATAAGTTGGGGTTTCGCTACCTAATCCAAAACCCCCTTCCCGACTCTGCATGCCGCAGACCAAAGTGGGCACCCAGGTTTGACAACGAAGCACATCTCAACTCCGGCTAGAGGTTGAGCCGGATACAGAAAATGCCTGTCACTCCGAAGCGAACTTTCCCATTGTCAGCTTGCAACCGACACCTTATGATGATCACCACGTGTTGTGGTGCTCACTTGCTGTCCCAGTTGCTGGACACGTGAGTCTTTCAGTTGCGCTGCACTGACCTGACCACACTACCCCACAGATGCATTCGGAAATCAAGGAGTTCCAACTGCTGTCGCTAGTGTATGCTCAATTTTCTTCCACATTTGCTTCTGCATGACTGACTGCCTACACCCTAAGTCCCTAAACAGTACTTCCCATGTTGTTTTCAATTTGACTCTGGCGTTGATTCTGCGCTGTTGAGCAGCTTTCCCTAAACCTGATATAACCCCATGAAATCCCTAGGTACTCAAAAAAAGCCTAACACGATGCATGGAGCATCTCAAAAACCGACATTCTGCCAGTTTCGGAGCAGCTGCGACAGGGGCCTGAATAGTGACCAATAATGGAGGATCAAATGAAAAAGCAAAGGGACATGAAATTTAAACTGTGTGTCTGTGTATACATACAGGGATTCTACAAGGACTATGGAGAGTGGAGGCCTAAATCATTACCAATCATTGCGTGCTAAACAGCCTATCTGCGGAAAGGGGAAGCCTGCTGACAGAACAAATCTCATGGGTTAAAAACATCCTTCTAGCTAAACACTGCCGGCGATAAGAAAATCATTGCAGCACTCTGCGTAAATACCCTGAATCCTAAGAAACCGAAGGTGGTGCAAGAGTGCAAGTTTCCTCCATCAACAATGCTACTAGTCGTTAGTAGGAAAGAAGACAATATAATATATGGAATTATATAAAGATTACATTCCCTCCCGTATTCCCCACTAACCACCAGTCAACTGACACTGAACTTGCGGTGAACATGCCTCTCCGGTGAAGGCGCCTTCTCCGGTTTTGCTGCCTCAGCCAGATGATCTTGAAGGAGGTTCTCAAACAGGAATGTTGGAGGGAGTTTGGGGTGTAGGCGTACGGGATTCCTCAAAATAAGATGCCCTTAGCGACCCCGGGAATACCTGGTCCACCTCACACATTCTCTCAAAGCACCAATAACTCGCAGATCTACAGCAGGCATCAGACCCCACAGACTAACAGTCTTGAAATGCACCAAACCACCACCTTTTCGAGAGACTCTTTGAATCCGGGGGCCAACCCTGAGATGAAACCATCAGCAAACACGTCTGAACGAGAAAATTTGGCGAAGGACAAGGAAGTCATCAGGATCAACTCAACAAAGGCTACTGTTTTCGGGGTCTTGTGCTTGCATGTTCACTGCGAAACAGCGCACCGCAATACAACTCGATCAACTCCCGGACATGGCACGCTGCTGCCCCGAAAACTCAACTTAGCCCAACGTGACTCCTGCGATTACTTTTTGTCTGTTGCGTAATATCAGAAGGATCCATATGGATCCATTATTGCTATTATGACTATTATTCAGTCTGACTACTCTAAAAACTCTAAACAAAGCCCTGAAAGAGTTTGCAGGATGCCGGGCCCGCAAGCCGAAGAGCCCTATCCTTTCCCAGCATCACGGTTCAAGGGCCAAAGGAATCAGAAGCATTCCAAAACCTCCCTGAAAGCTTCACAGTCTCCCCGCGAAGCCTTGAAAAGAAAATGGGAAACTGCTATTTCGGGTTTAGGTTTCAGGGCTTGAAGGGGTTTAGGGTTTAGGGGCTTAGGGTTTACTGCTTGGCTTCAGCGTTGAAGGCTTAGGAGTGAGGCTAAGTGCCGGACAGTTTTGCGCGCAAGCAGAAATCCCCATCTTTTCCAGGGGCTGCTTCACTTTCAGAAGATGAGGCCTGAGACTGCCAAAGCAAATACTCCTGCTGTGAGAGGGAGAGGTCAGGGATTGGCCTTCAGGAAAACCGAGAACATTGGGACAGTTATAGGCGATTCTAAAAAGGGATGATTACGGAGATTCACTCTTCTTTCACTTAAGCACCACTGCTACCCCTGCCTTGCTGGAATAGCTCCAAGACAATAGAACAAAATTTACTGGGTTGCTGTTAAG